CATTTTCTAGAGGGACATCTATCAGCGTTGCACTCGCGTCTCGCAGAGAGCGGCATGTTTAGAAAGCCATGTAAAATTAATGCAAGTTTAACTTTGCAAAAAACATATATCGAGACTTTATGGCTGGGTTTTTCCCAATCCCACTGCAACCCGTGTTTTTAAATGAAAAATGTACTCTGTGTGATTGGCTTTCCGCCCTTTGTATTAAACTATGCATGCATACATGATGCTGTTTTGTTTATAGTTGTTTAAGCTAATTAATTATATATGGTTTATAAACATTATTTTAAACATTATGCACTTTTTTTCTCAGATAGTCATGTTATCTTACTGAATAAACGTGCATTGGTAATATTTTGCTCAATGCGCCCTCTTGTGGCCTCAGAAGAGAAGCCAAAAGCTTTTCTTCACCCTAACTGAAATTATGCATTTTAAATTCGAATATAATTCGAATTTTGATAATATTTAAGTACAAAATTCGAATCTAGTTTTTCAGCCATTTTGACAGCCCTATCCCGCACACACGAGTCTCTACGCACTCACCCATCAAGTGTTGTCCCGCGCCGCACTGTGTTGTGTTAGGTCCTGCGGGAGTGTAGGTCTCTACTCGGAAGGTGGCTGTTATACTGTTATGATCGAGGCTAAAAAACTATAAAATATTATATATATATATATATATATATATATATATATATATATATACATGTGTCAAAAAGGGGAATAGTGTTTATAGTTTAGGGAAATGGGTGTGCTTTTTGATAAATGGCGTTATGGTTTTGAAATTTTAGTTCAAAAGCCTGGTGATAGTGTTTAAGCAATCGAGAAAAACTGTAATGTTATAAGCTGAGATTTACAAGAAATATTTTAACTGCTACTATGTAAAAGGAATACTGCTGCAAAAAGCACCTTATTTGTTTAAAATGTTTGCAAATCAAATGTTATTGCACTTTTGTTCATATAGCAGTACTTTTAAATGAAGAAAAAAAAGTGCATAATACACTAGTTTTGAATTCATTATTGATATTTTGTGCATAACAATGTGATTAATCGCAGAAAATCATGTGATTAGTCGCGATTAAAAATTGTAATCGTTGCCCAGCACTACTAAAATAACATTATTAGTAACGTTCAAATCATTTGAAATCAAAATAATGGTGGTAAATAGCCGTGGATCATAGCTCACTACAAACAAAGCACAATGAGCCCATGATGCTTCTGCACCGCATTCAAACCGCACGAACTGCACTGCAAACGGATCATCGCTTAACTTCGTTTACTCTTTGCTGATACACTGCACTCAACTGCCAGGCTCTAGAAATTTGAGAATCAGTGAAGACATCAGCGAGTTCGACTCTAGAGCTATTCAGAGTCGAGAAATCGACACTTTTGGAGTCGACTCCCCATCCCTAAGCCATACACAAAAGCACTGAATGCTAGCCATTAGAAACTGGCACAGTTAAAGTCACAAGTCAGAAAGAGCTTTACTACCAAGTATGTTTTCACACACAAGGACTTACAATTTACAACAAGGAATTACACTGTAGAGATGGAATATAACACTAACATAAGAAAAACTGAAAATGAAATAATGCAAATAATGCATAAACAACCCTCCATCTCAGAAAGAAATTGGAAAGCTAGAGGGAAACATTCAGAAAAACAAAATATGTAAAATGTGGGGGAATGCCAATGATGATCTTGCTAGTTGTACAGCCCTCCAGTCCAAGCTGGTTCACAGAAAACATCTGGAGTACCATTACATTCATCATGTTTTTTGTATGTTGTACATTGAATTTATTGAAGTGTCATTGAATACCATGGTACATAAATAGGCCAATCATTCAGTACCATCGTATATATTTGTGAAAAGAAACTTAAAGGGGTCATCGGATGCCCATTTTCCACAAGTTGATATGATTCTTTAGGGTCTTAATGAAAAGTCTATAACATGCTTTGGTTAAAATTTCCCAATGGTAGTGTAAAAAACACCCTTTTTACCTTGTAAAAATCAGCTCTTTTCAGAGCAACCTGTTTTGTTGCATGTTCCTTTAAATGCTAATGAGCTCTGCTGACCCCGCCCCTCTCTTCTGTGGGGTGGCGAGCAGTTCTGTTTACTTTAGCCACAAAACTTGCTAACTAGCACATTATTAGGAAAGGCGATTTGCAAAGATTCATAAAAAAACCTTTATACTCACTTCTTTTTCTTTAGGTTGAGGCTGGATCATGAATGATTCGCGCGAACATAGACGCATTTAGGTAGATCAAAGGGTGCATTCCCTTCAAAATCAAAGGTAATATATTGCGTCTTCAGTGGCTCAGATGTCGGGAGTAAATGATGACTGCTATGTTCATTATTACATCCAACAACAAAACACCCCAATCTCTTAGGAGCCATTCTTGTCTACTCCTGCTCCAGCGTCGAAACAATGGCGTTCTGACTGTTCACAGCTCACTCAGGGTGGGTCTAAGGCAAGACGGCCGTGTCAATCAACAATCGTGGGAGGGGCCTTGGTCTGTGTGACGTCACACAGACAGGAAGCTGAGAATGGCTTGATTTGAAAAAGGAGTATTATTTTTAGGGATTAAATAAAAACCACTGAGTGGATTTTTATCATTATAGTGTGGATGTGTACACACACTGCCAACACACATTTCAGTTCAAACAACTTGTAAAAGTTAATTTTACATCCGATGGCCCCTTTAAAATATTGCAGCAACATATCGTCTAGGAACGAGTTTCAAAAAGTTTTTTTTTTTTTTACATAATGTCAAATATTTAACAAAAGGTTTGCTTAACAGCAGTGGCTCTAGAGGGAGAGTTGTTCAGAATACAGAAATCTAACATATGCTGGGGTGCACATAAGGGCTGCCCAATTTATTTATTTATTATTTCTATTTATTTATTTATTTGCTGTGACCTCAGACTGAGCTCATTCATATGTGTTTCGGGTTTGGTGAAAATACCTCATTCCATTCAAGAGTTATAGACATTTTAGTAAAAGTGGCCCTGCCCACTTTGAACGTTTTGGCATCCTGTTGCGACCAACAATGGAACTTCGTTTTGATAACTTTTGCTGTTCAGACTCCAGAGAATTTTCCTGCACTGGTACCATGTAACTTGTAGTGTAAAACTATATTTCTATAAAGCAGGGACCAAATGTAAATTTTTTGGCCACTTTTGGGTTTTCTCATAATAAAAATATTTACAAATACAATAGGGTTTCTGGGCTTCACGCTTGATAATAATAATAATAATAATAATAATAATAATAATAATAATAATAATAATAATCTTTACAAATACAATAGGGTTTCAGCAATTCACGCTTGAACCCCTTATTAGTGGTATCAAGTGAATAAGTCATTTAGTCATAGTTTATTATTTGAGAGTAACTACTCCACACTTGCTCTCCTCATTAACAAGCGCACACACACACACACACACACACCAGTCAAAGCTTTCCCTGTGGTACTTATAATTACAAAGTATAGTTGTATATTTTTGTATTCATAGCCAACATGAATTAGACCATGTAACTTGTAGTGTGAAATTATAGTTCTATAAAACAGGGACCAAATTTACATTTTTTGGCCAGTTTTGGTTTTCTCATCAGCCATCAAACTTAGTTTCGCATTATTTTTAGAGTAGTTGTATATTTCTATATCTCTATGACAATGACAATATTTCTGTTTTTTTCCTCCTCATATTAGTGACGGAAAAGTCATTGTCACCTGCAGCAGTTTTTTTCCCCAAAATATTCCAATCTCCAGCTTTCAGAAAAATAATACAATTATGTCTCAAATTCTGTAAGGTCCATTTTTTCCTTAATGTGTATTTAGTCATAATGGAGACTACTTTGTCAAACTGCTAATTAATTAGAATATTATTTGACATCTTTCAGCAATTTCTGTTTGTCTTCTCTTACTGTTTGTCTAATTTTGTCTTCTTTTGTGCTTACATGCATCAATAGAAGTGTGTTTTGGTTTATCTGTGGTAGCATTTCTAATGTTATTGTTAATTAATTTTTCTAATGTTTTGTGTATGTATTGTCAATAATCCATACAGGTGTATCGGCAGGACTGTGATACATTTGGCATGGTTGTGAAGATGTTGGTGGCCAAGGATCCATCCTTGGAGAAGCCAATTCAGCGGTCTCTGCATGAAAACCTGAGGGACATTGGCATGCGTTGCATCAAGGCCATGGAGCAGTTCATCCATGAGTATGATTCCAGAGAGCTAGACACTCCATCCACCTCCCAACTGCATTCAATCAAGTGACGACTGCAAACACATGGCAAAATCCAGCTACTTATTCGCTTCTCATGCACGCTATCCATTCAACTTTAAAATTTGCCCCTCTTTATCACACCTTTAGCTATATCAGTGTTTCTTCAAACAATTTTCATATGGATAGTCAATCAAATTACTTTTATTAGACCTTTGTATTCCTTTTTTTTGGTAAACAGAGGATGTTCCACGTATCTGTAATCCCACAAAACCACTGAGAAAAGTCAACAAAAATACATGAATATGAATAGTATGAATATAATAGACATGTCTGCATTTTACATTATCTGCCTTATATTGCTTGCAAAACATAACTACAACATCTGTTCCTTGTTGAGCAACAAGCTTAAAATATTGGTGGTCATCAGAGTAAAAAATACAGAATTTGTTGTATATAAACTTAAAACACACATCATGTGAATTGTTAGTTGCACTTGTGATAAAATAAAGTGTTACCATAGTACATACAGTATATCTGTCTACATGTTTTACAAATAAAACTGTCTTCCACTAACTTGCAGAATTGTAATACATTACATGTAAGATTACAATTAAGAAGACATAGAAGATTGTGTGTAAATTCACAGGAAAGGGTTATCCAAAACTGGAGCAATGTTAAAAGAAACACAACCTTAGGGAAAAGTTCAGATGTAAAAAGTTTCACCCTATTTCTGACAATTTGTCCAGAAAATAAAATATAAAATATGCTTTTTAATGGATCACTTTGATTGTAATAATCTGAAACTTCATTAAAGGCATTGTTTGTTTGTTAATAGTTATTTAATTCACATACACGACATGGACTGGGGATACACATGCAGTCACCGTAAAATTCTACACTCTACAATATGATACAAATAACGCATCTGAGAATACAAAATATAGAAATATTTAAGACAATATTTACAGAACTTTTACAATACTACATTGTTTTTATATATAGTTTTTTATCTTTAGGAAAACATTTAATTTTAAGATATTATTTGTAAATGGTATTTAAATGACTTTGGAAAAGACAAAATATTGCATTTAAAATAATAACCAACCTTGCTCAGCAAAATGCTAAACATTTTTTAAAAGTTTACATTTAAAACAACATTAATAAAACAAGTTGAAAACCATGAAGAGAGCATACTAGGAAACTATTTAGAACAATTAACGGTTAGCAGCGTGGGGATTATAGTAAACTGTATTGCCACAAAATTATACCAAAACTTAAGGGGAAAAAAAAGAAAGGAGAGAATGTAACCTTGACTAGAATCAGAATCGCAACCAAAAAATCTGAAAACAGGTAAGACAAAGGTTGTAATTAGATTGTGTAATTACAATGGTTGTAATTGTTAGATTGAATCCAAAATTATTTTCAAGAGTAACGCAATTGAACAACGATTTAAGACATTTCAGTGTAAATTAAAAATCCATATATGCTAATTCTGAACGTTAAGAGCCCAGAGTCTTCACTTCTTCTGAAATGACGTTATATCGCAGATTGTTATTGCACAAATATCTACAAAACTAAATTCATATTTTATCAACAGATAAAGTTCAATGTGCTGTTCAAATAAACAGAGGTTAATACTTTTGATCATTGTGCAATCTCCAGTCACAGTAAACACATGAGTTCAGATCAGAACATAATATGGTGATTATCTCTAAGGACACCCAACTTAATATATTGTATTTATCATCTGAATCTAACCGTGTCATCATGTTAATTATTGTGCCTTTATCCCCAACAGCAGGGACAGCAGCACTTTTTAACCAACAAACCATACTTTTACATATCCTTCCATTACTGTAAAAATGGCTGCTTTAATTATCTTAAACAGAACTGAAAAACCTTAACAGAACCTTTGTCTCAAAATGTAGTCAATTTTATTTATCATTTGACACATAAATCTACAACAGTAAATAAATAACCACGTTTGACTATGCACATGAAAATTCTGGGCTACTTTGATCTAATATTCATTTATTTGTTTGTTTGTTTGTTAAGGAAACCTATGACGTCATTACCGGTGCGACCACAGTATAAAAGGGCACCGGGGGAGCACATCATCCGCTTCTTCATTTGAAGCTTACGTCCGAAGCATGTCGAGGAGTCTAGAGGACGCAGTGTCTCGTTCCCTTCTCAGGGAACCATGGTTACATACGTAACCTGAGTCGCTCCCTTCCGAGGGAACTTCGAACTGCATCCTCTAGTGGTCGCTTTTGGGAATGGTATACCCACGCTGACATGCTGAGGGGAGTGCATGCCAATACTAAGGAGAGCACTAAGTACCAACTCAACCAAGTTAAGGGAATTGCCCCTAGGATGCTTTGACGGCTGTCAGTGACATCATCCTCTACAGCCAAAAGCCTGAGATATGCGCCAAAGAACTTACCTGTGAGGGGCCTTATCTGAGAACTTTCCTGAGAGGAAGCCTGATCCCAGGGCAAAGCTCAAGGCTTGGAATCAGAATAAAAGGATTCCTTAAGGGTATGCGGCCGAGTTTCAGGGCTGACCTAAACCCATATCTTGGCCTATTACACAGGGGGCTACCCTCTGCTCTTAAAATGAGCTACCCGAGGATCCCATGATACTTCAGGAACTAAGTAGCAAACACCCTGCTTAAGAATTTATCAAAAAGATATACACACGGAGAGTGGGGCCCACGGTAAGAACCGGGGCCTGAGCCAACTCAGAGAAAGGGGACGAGGCTAGCATCGCGTCACCTTTACGATAAAGGATTTTAGAAAGGTGCGCAAAGGCTTAACATACACACCTATCATGAATATGGATTTTAAAGAAGTGCACAGAGAACTAGCGTGTGCACTTACCATAAATATGGATTTAAAAAAATACCATTACTAAAAAGGTGACAAAAACCATGGCGGGCCAGTACTTTATGTGACTGAGACTGCTCAGGAGTAGCAGGCTACTCAGCTTAGCACCTATGGATCTGAAGGTGGCGTGTCTCATAGAAGAACCCTCTAGCTGAGGGGAGCCTCGCCAACCTGACTAAAGCAGTCACAAGAGCAGAACTCTAGATAATCATGACCACTTCTATTTCTCGAGGCAACCATGAGAGGAACCTAATAGGTGGCAGAAATGGCCTAACAACCTAATAAGGCTAAATTACAGGGCCTCGATACTCAGAAGAGAGGGCATGACAGATGCTCAGGTGGGAGCGGCATGCTCATAGAAACCCTCAAGAACAAGGGGAGCACTACCAAGCTTAACCATACAGGTATCGTCAGAGTTACGTCAGTAGAGTGGGGCCCAGGTAAGGAATCCGGAGCCTGAGCCAACTCAGAGAAAGGGGGCGAGGCTAGCATCGCTTAACGTAAAGGATTTCAGAAAGGTGTGCAAAGGCTTAGCGTGCACACATACCATAAATATGGATTGTAAAGAAGTGCACAGAGAACTAGCATGTGCACTCACCATAAAAATGGATTTTAGACTAAGCTCTAAAAACGGAGGACTCACAATCAGGGAGGGGAGCTCTGTTAAGCTCGACCATAAGAGCAGCCTGTCAGGGAGGCAGAAGATAACCTAGCTTCCTGACGTGGTTGCCGTACAGAGCTCCAGAGAGCGGAGAACCCGATTCCAAGAAGTGGGAGAGATACTCAGACACTAAGTTGGGAGGGGCGTGCTCATAGGTGACCCTCAGGAAAAGAGGGGAGCACTGCTAGGCTCAACCATAAGAGCAGCCAAACAGGAAGACAGAAGGAGCCTAACAACCTGACATGGCTGCTCAGTGGAGCTCTGAGGAGCGGAGGACTCAACGAGGGGAGAACTCAGGTGCTCAGCTGGGAGCGGCGTGCTCATAGGTGACCCTCAAGAATGAGGGGAGCACTGCTAGGCTCACCTTCAAGAGCAGTCAAACAGGGAGGCAGAAAGGGCCTAACAACCTGACAGCTGCTCAATGGAGAGATCCAAAGAGCAGAGGACTCGACTCACAAAACAGGAGGAGAACTCAGATGCTCAATTGGGAGCTCATAGATGACCCTTGAGGACAAGAGGAGCACTGCTGGGCTCTAACAACCTGAGGAGGCCACAAAATGGAGCTCCAGGGAGCAGAGGACCCAGTGAGAGGGGACCTCCAATGCTCAAATGGGAGCAGCGTGCTCACAGGTGACCCTCAGGTCAAGGAGAGCACAGCTAGGCTCAACCAAGAAAGGGGCAGCATACCAGGGAGGCAGCAAGTGGCCAAACTACCTGGTGTTGATACCACAGAGCGGAAGCCCAACTCAGACATTAAATTTGGTATTGGCGTGCTCAAAGGTGACCCTCTTGGGTAAGGGGAGCACTGCTAAGCTCAGCCAACAAGGAGAGCAGCCTAACAGGGAGGCAGAAAAAGGCCTAACAACCTGAGGCTTCTGCTGCTCAATGGAGTTCCAAAGAGCGGAGGACTTGATGAGAGGAGGCCTCAGATGCTCAATTGGGAGCGGTATGCTCAAAGGTAACCCTCTGATGTGAGGGGAGCACTGCTAGGCTCAACCAAATAAGGACAATAAATCAGGGAGGTAGCAAGTGGCCAAACTACCTGATATTGCTGCCATGGAGCTCCAAGAGCGGAGGGTTCAACCCCTAGCAAGGGGAGAGAGGAACCCAACTTGACCGAAGCGATCAATAGCCCAGAAGCAGAGAACCTATCTCTGAAGTAGAGAGGAGGACTCACATATTCTGCCCAGGACCGGTGAGCTCATAAAAGACCCTCCCACAGTGAGGGGAGCACAGCCATGTCTGGAAAGCAGATTGACCGCAGTGGAACATCAGAAATGGGATCCAGCTAGAAGGGGATCACACATCTCTACAGGGAACAACAGGGTCCCAGCATAGAGGCAACTGACCAGGGAGGCGACAGAGATGGGCCTAACAACTCAGTAATGTTGCATATGGAGTTCTCGGGAGCAGCGCTCTCAGTTTTCAGGCTGAGGCGGGACCTAGAGCATAACGGTGCTAGATTAGAAGGTGGGAATCCAGCAGGGCCTAATTAAAGACAGTCAACTGATGCAGCTGGACGCAATCTCGTGCTCTCTATGGCGATAGAGAGCATGGGTCCCATTTAACCAGACTGATAGAATCTGAAGCAACAGCAGGACCCGATAACAATTCATGCATGCAGAGCTACTGCTCCTCAGAGCCGAAGCTTTCAGGAAGGGTTTCCGCAGAAACACATCTCACGCGTACCTCAGGGAATGCAGTGTGCTCAAGCCCACTCCACGGAGGGGCGATTACTGGTTTGACCATAAGGGCAGTGTGACAGGGCGGTCCCGTGGGCCTGACCATCTATCGAGCTGCAGAGTGGAATTAAGGAGTGTTGAACTCCTCAGCGAGAGGAACAGTGCATGATGGTTGAGGAATGACTCACATCTCAGGAGACCCCTCAGGGTGAGAGATGAGTAGCACGTCCTGGCCAGGGCAGCT